GCACTTGAAAATTTTAATTCCATCTTGATTCCTTTGTGTAATACTACTAACATATTATGCCAATTTGTTCATTCAGTAAATAATTATATTCCCTGTTGGCATTGCTTTTGTTTTTCTTTACTGAAGATGATTAGATTAAAAGACTGTGTGAGAAAGTCTGTGCCATGAAGCTGAATGTCTCATGCAATTTTCTGCCCTCTGACTACCTTAGTACTTCTATTGCATTGTGTTCAACATTTGCCTGGGCAGAGATTCTTCTTTGGGTTTGGTGTTTTTCTCTAAATGTCATTGAATGTGGAAGTATAGTCACAGAGTTGTGATGCCAACATCTAGGACAAGAAATAGAAAGAGCCACCAGAGTACAGTAAGTAGATAGATGTTAGCAGCTCTGCAAAGCTAAGACCAAATCCTAATTCAAGTCACTGATCCAACAGGTTGGTAAACTCAATGATCTAGGCAGAAGCCTTGGTGGGCAAATGTTTTGTTTGGTCTATCATTTGGACTGCATTAAGCAGATAGTGTATTATCTTTTTCTTCCCTTTGGCTCAGTCAGCAGAACATGGAGCAGCCTTGTATCAGTGAAGAACAGTTTGGGTTGTATGAGCTGTCAAGAGAGACTGGTTGGCCAGAGAATAGAATTCTCCTTTGTCAGGCACATAAGTCAGAAGCTCCCAGTGTGTTGCTGAGAGACTCCCAAGCTGGGTCAGCCTGTTTTGGTCTGTGGGTTCTATGGACTGGTTGCATGGGAAGGACTTGGGAGACCTCATTCCCCAAGAAGGTGATTGCAAGACCAAATGCCCAAAGACAGAAGTAGAATTTGTGTTAGAGGCATAAGTTCTGGGTGGAAGTAGACAGAACCAGTTTGGCAGGATGTGGGCCTGTCCACATGAGTTGAGAAATCTTTGTTTCTGTATGCCAGTTTTCACTGGTACATGCATATTTGGACCTTCCTAGCCCTGTGCGGGGGGCTGAGACCTAAGCATGTGGTCCTTTATATGGATGGTAATTTTTTTTTTTGTACCAGGGATTGAACTTGGGTCATTGCACTTGTGCAGCAGGTGATGAAACCACTGAGCTAAATCCCCAGCCCAGTGGATGATAATTTTAATCTGGCCAAGACCCCGATGTTCTCAGCTCAGTGCCTACAGCTCCAGTTGTGCAATGATCAGGAGAAATGAGAGGAGATTTGGGAGTTAAATGAGGTTTCTGTGTGGGTGAGACTGGGCTTTGTTGCATGCCATGTTTTCTTTCAGCAGCACACCATATATTATAGTACAGTGTCCATTAAATTTGTATTAAGTATGAAAGTTGCTTTTTGTGGGCCCTGTACAGCAGTAGATTTGTGCATTGATATTTTCAATATCTCAATGTGCTGTTTGGAGGTTCCATTTGCTGCAGATGCTTTTCTAGGGCCATGTCTGTAGCTACATCCACCTTTCCCTCCTCTCTGGCCACCATGCTTTGAATGTATTTTCCTCCATCTTGTCACTTTCCCATCCAATTTATACCTTGGAACCAGGAGAACATGAACCAAAACTGAGTCGACATAAAACCTACTCCTTTAAGTTGAGGTTGTTGGTTATTTTGTCCCAATGATGGGAATGTGGTTAAGATATCTAGTTATGCCATCTGTTATAAGCTTAAATAGGAGATCTCAAACACACAAATTGCATCCTCCACTCTAGGTTTCACTGTGATGATGGTAAGTTCCAAAATTGACATACACTTCCCCATGGGCCCAAAGTCATTATAGGGTGTTTGAAAATTATTTAAAAATTAACATTATCTATGATTAAATTCAGTGTTAGATCACTTCCCAAGCATCCATTTACCTCTTTCTTATATTCAGAGCAGTAAAAATAATGAAAAAATTAGTCAATAAATGGAGTTTTATAGTGTATCATATGAAAATTAGTTATGTTACCATTTTAAATAAGAGAAGAAGAAATCATGCTGTAAAGGACAACTACAAGAAAGGACTGCTTGTTAAAGTCACATGTTTTTCTTGAAGTAAGTACTCACATGCAATTCCTGCAGGAGTGCAAATGAAAAGTAGGATTACTCATGTTATTGCTATGGTTCATTGGTAGTTTGTAGACATTATTCAAGATAAGACATGCTGAATGAGGTAGGACTTTAATTAAAAACTGTATTACATCAGGTGATAAATACTCTACCTGTCACAAACAGTTCTTGCCTTATTGATGACCACTCTCCTCCTCTGGCAACTTTTCCAAAGTTTGCCAAGTGTGATTTTCCATGAGTAGTACTCTTTTAGCTTCCTTCCTTTCAGTTTTCAATACTATCATGGATATTGCACAGGGAAATATTTTGTGAGAGTTTTTTTTATTTTTTTGTTTAATTTTTTTGTCTCACTTATTGTTCACAAGTGCTGATATGTGAATGAAGGGAAAAGTATTTCTCATCCATTCCATTGGTTGGGAAGTTCCTGATTTTTCAATGTTACTTGAAAACAGTCAATTTATTCCCAGGAATAATAGCACAATGTATTTCCTAGATATTGGAAAGAAGTTAGTGGCCTGTGGATTTTGGTAACTCCAAAGTAAGGGTGATGGGTATGCAATGTAGCAGCTGATTCTCCATTTTTGGATAAGTCTACTGATGTGTTTTTCCACACTTCAGTTTTCTTTAGTGATATTCTCAAGAGTTGAATCTTGCTCTATATTCAGTGTTTCTCTTGAGCCAGATGTGTTGTAGTTACTTTTTAGATTAATCTTTATTCTCTATACAAAATCTTTATGTTGTGTACACAGCAAATATTTTCTTGTTTATCTCTTATGATTTCCATAGATTTCAGTTTCTCCTTCTACTTCTGATGTCTGTCTGATTTTTTTTATGAGAAAACACTGTCTCTTCTGTTTTTTCACTATCAATTCTTAAGGCATTCAAGTTTATCTTTCCCATTTTAGTATGTAACTTATGTACACAGAAGAGTACATGATCCAGATTTCCAATTACATACCTGTTTTTCCTTAAACTTAAATGAAACACAATATGATTTCTTCCAGGGTTGTGTAACACCAGCTCCATCATGAATCAATATTCTATTTACCTGTGGGTCCATTGGACACTATCTTCCATTCCTGAGGTCCATTTCTCATTCTCTCTACTAGTCATAAACTGAAAGGTGGAATTTGAATGTCTTTCATGTATATTATGCAAGCTTTCACGTTGCTCACAAGGTGTTGAATGTTAGTCTTTTATTGTAGTGTACAGCCATAATTTTTTTTTGTAATGATGATCAAACTCAGGGCCTTGTGCTTGCAAGGCAGATGTGGTACCACTGAGCTTAATTCCTGGCCCACAGCCATAATGTTTTAACAAATCAATGATGTGTGTAATGAGGGACACAGTAAGTTTTTTTAGTGCTCTGTTTTGGTGAGGAATTGGAGGCAGCATCTCACTCTGTAATCTTGACTGCCCTTGAACTTCTTACATAGCCCAGGCTGGACCTTGATCACTTGGCTATCCTCAGATTCATGGCAGTCATCCTGTTGCAGCCTTCCAAGTGCAGGAATTACAGGCACATTCCACCACATGTGGATGTAGTTTTCCTTTTGTATTTAATGATTAATTATTTTGTGATATTTTGGTTTTCATTACATATAATATATTTCATTAATATTCATCCCCTCATTACCTTCCCTTATACCACCCTTATATTACTTACACGTGAGTGAAAGATGACCACTTGGTGCCAATGAGCTATAAGACAATATGCCAACTTTATCCTATTTCATTGATCTTACATAAACTTGCTCCAAGAAAACTTTCCTTTAGCATTTTAATTATTCATAAACCTTATTTAATATTCAATTTTTTCTATAAGACCAGATTCAAGTTTCAAAATTCTCCATGAGTGCAAAGAAAGTTGGACTGAATACTGTGAGTAATTTGAAAAAAGACATAATCTATGGTATATCAGAACCATACATTAAATATTTATGTGCCCCTGTTTTTTTTTTTTTTTGGATTGGGATTTGCAGATTCCCTGTATGAGCTCTGCTTTAGAGACAGTGCACAAGTACAATGTGGGTGTTCCTGAAGGAGAACCAGTGCTACTATTCCACTGTTACTTTAGCAATGGGTTGAAATTTAGCATCAGAATTACTGTGTGAAAATATTTATATATAAATGGGCTTGATGACCAAGACATGGAACTAACATTTGAAGGAATCATCTTCAGTTTGGCTTTTCATGAGAGGAGTTGACTTATGTCAGGGTGTGTATCTGACCCATCAGGAAACATGTCATTCTTTAGGAGACTGTGACCTTTGAGGATGTAGCTGTGAACTTTACTGAGGCAGAATGGGCTTTGCTGAATCCACCCCAAAAGAAGATCTACATAGATGTGATGTGGGAAACATGTATGAATATGACTGCTATAGGTAAGGATAACATCATTTTCTTACTTATACAATCTTGCTCAGTGATACCGTTTTCTTTCCCTTTTTAAAATTATTTATTTATTTATTTTCTGAAACAGTCAGGCTGGGCTCATACTCACTGAGTAGACCAGGCTGGCCTTCAACTCATCCTTCCTCACCTTCCTGATGAATGATGTAGGTTCAGTGATGAAACTACTCAGTGATGTAGGTTCATTAACCACCTCAGTGATGTAGGTTAATTAAGTAGAATGTTATAACAGTTGAAGAATGTCTCAGGCCTGTTTATATTATACTATATATTTAACTGGAATCAATTTTTATGTAATGATATAGTGACTTGTTATATTTCTATGTCTGCAATTCAGAAAGAACCTGTGGTAACCAGCAAATGGAAGAGCAATACAAAAATTGTTCAAGAAATCTAAGGTAATTTTCACTCAAAAGAAAAAGGAACATTCCTCAAGAGTAAATGTTAAAGCAGAAATATTACAGTCAGTGAAACTGAAGAAATGAGGCTGTGTTCCAATTTATTTAATCTCACAAAAATTTCCAGAGATGCATATAAGTTCCTTTTATATAATGTTACGATCAAATACAGAAATATTCTAATATAGGAAACTAAAGAGTTACTGATATATGCAATAAGTGACACTATCTGCTCTATTAGTATAAAAATTTCATAATCAACATCATAGTAATGTATGAGACTGCATTTAAGTGTTGTATATATGCAGATATGAATTGAATAAATTCTGAACTTTGCCAGGAACTTATCTTTAAAATATCCATGTATGCATGTGAATATGAGACATTCATTGTCTAGAAAATTGCTAACCTGGAAGCAGTATTCAAAATGCAAATGAATGCTAAGGTTGTTATAATAGATGTTTCAAAACATCCTCCAGAATATTGAGCTGTCCATGTTTTAAAACTTAGAAATTAGCCTCATACATTGTTGATGGGAATATAAAATGGAACCATTATGATAATCAATATACAGATGTCTCAAAAAGGAAAAATATATGTTTTCTTTGGATCCACGTATACCACCCTGGGTATATTCTGAAATGTGTTAAAATGATTATATTTTAGAGATATGTGAATTCCAATGTTCAAAGGAGGGCCACCATGGGTATTCATAATATCTAAGTGCTGAAAGCAATTCAGAACAGCCAAGCTCTGGAAAGAGCCTAGATGCCCATCACCAGGTGCCTGGTTGATTAAAATGTGGGATAGGCTCAGCATGGTGATGCATTCTTATAATGCCTGCAGGCTGGGAAGCTGAGTCTGTAGGAGGACAAATTGAAGTTAAGTCCAAGCAAATTAATGACCAATAAGAATCTCTTTCAAAATACAAAACAGAGAAGCTAGAAATATAATTCCCTGCTAAGAGCTGCATTTAATTCTCACCACTGAAAAAACTATCCTATATAATAAGCCAAAAAGAGCAATTTCCATCATTTGCCAAAAAATGAAATTAGATGGGACTCCATGTCATTAAGTTAAGTGAAACAAATTTTAAATGAGAAACTAAAAAATATGTTTAGGGAGTAAAATAAGGGAAAGATGATAGAAAACAGAAAGGGTCTTTTGGGGGATGAGAAAGATGATCAGGGTAAGGAGAGAAGGGAAGAGTGATGAGTGAAAAGATATAAAAATGATTAGTATGACACAAATATGTACCCATCCCCTAAAATGAAACTTGATAGTATGTTTTGGAAACATTTGCCAAGTAATATTCCCATGTGAAAACCATTCCCATGAGAATGGGGGTTTTGGAGGCATGCTCCAGGCCATTAGGTCAACTTATCATCAGAATTTCTCAGCAGGCATCAAATGAGAACTTGCCCTGATTGACTATTAATATGGAGACCTTTTTCATTGTGATTGTTATTTTTGTCCTTTTACCTTTACAGAATTGATGCAGACAAGTGTTTGAGATTGGAAGAGATGCTGTACAAATGTAGTGAACATGGAAAAACCTGGAGTGATTTCCAGTCCTTTCAGAAACATGAAATGAGAAAGACTGGAGAGAAACAATGGCAATATGAGCAATGTGGGAAAGCCTACTCTGATCTTAGTGAACAAACTCATCCTGGGGAGAAAATATTTCTACGTAAGAAAAATGTGAGTGCCTCCAGCACACTCAGTTGTGTTCAAATCCAAGAAAGAAAGTATGGTGTTGGGAGTCCATATGGGTACAAACAATGTGAGAAAACTTTTATGTCTTCATGCTATATTCAACCAAATGAAAGAATTTATGTTGGAGAGAAGCCCTATGTAACTAAGGAATGTGTGAAAGCATTATCTCATTGTCACTCCTTTCACAAACATAAAATAATTTACACTGGGAAGAACCCTTATGCATGTAAGCAATGTAGAAAAGAATTCACTTCATGGACTTGTTATGACATACATGAAGAAAACACTAGAGATAAACCTTATGTATGTGAACAATGTGGTAAAACTTTCAGCACACACACGCAGTGTCATAGTCATGAAAGAACTCACACCAGGGAGAAACCCTATGTATGTAAGCAATGTGGAAAAGGATTTGCTGAGAAGTCCTCATGTGAAAGACATAGAAGATCTCACACTGGGGAGAAACCCTATGTATGTGAGGAATGTGGGAAAGCATTCAGCAAACGCAGTCACTGTCAACGTCATAAAAGAATTCACTCTGGGGAGAAACCCTATGTATGTAAGCATTGTGGGAAATCTTTCACCCAAAAGAGTGGTTGTCAAATACATGAAAGAATTCACACTGGGGAGAAACCCTATGTATGTAAACATTGTGGGAAATCATTCAGGACATACAGTCACTGTCAAAATCATGAAAGAACTCACACTGGGGAGAAACCGTATGTATGCAGGCATTGTGGGAAATCTTTCACCCAAAAGAGTGATTGTCAAATACATGAAAGAAATCATACTGGGGAGAAACCCTATGTTTGTAAGCATTGTGGAAAGTCTTTCACCCAGAAGAGAAGTTGTCAAATACATGAAAGAGTTCACACTGGGGAGAAACCCTATGTATGTAAGCATTGTGGGAAATCTTTCA